TATTTACCGTTATTTCAATTACGTAAGTACATTTCTTTTCCTAAATGTGTTTCTTAACAGTTTCGCGTTATGGACTTTATTTCAATAAAATAAATTTTCAAATTAATTTAAACGGACTTTTACAAGCGAGATTGTAGTAGCATTAAGTCCGTCAGCGTGCGTATTTAGAGTTTATTCGTACATATCTTAATTAAGTCGAGTCACTAGTGCATGCCTAGATGACGTAATCGCGTGCGCAAAAAAAAGGCATACTTCCAAGATGGCGCAAAAAATTGAGTTAACAAAAATTAAGCAAAGAAAAAGGATAGCTAAGAGTGGTTTCACGCGAGTGGAAACTTTCTTAAATACGTTAGATGCAGAGACTGTTGATGTCGAGGTGGTAAAGTTGCGATTAACTAAATTAGAGGATTGTTGGAAGTCGTTCGAAGAAAGTCTAACTGATCTAGTGAGTTACGATGAAACGTTAACAGATGAGCAAGCCGATGAAGAGTTAATAATCCACGAAGAAAAATACATGAGCCTAAAGTTAAGAGGAGAAAAAATAATTAAAGATCGCGTGAAACCAGTCTCAGTCAGCAGTGCGCTTAACCTAGCTGCAGAAGTTTCGGAAGGCGTCGGGACGCGAATAAATGAAAGTCACGTAAGATTGCCCAAGATAGATTTACCCGTCTTTTCTTATGAAGAATGGCATTCTTTTTTCAACACATTTAATTCTCTAATACACTCCAATAAGTCGTTAAATGATATTCAAAAATTCCATTATTTGAAATCTTCCTTAAAAGGTGAGGCAGCTGAAACTATAGCTTTATTAGAGATCTCGGAAATTCATTATAAGGATGCTTGGCTCAGGCTAAAAGAAAGGTACGACAACGAGCGTCTCGCTGTTCAAAATCATATCAGAGCAATATTTGAATTACCTGTGTTGAAAAGGGAAAATAGCGTAATGTTAAGAAGCATATTAGATGGCACATTGAAACACACTAGAGCATTAACCGCGTTAAAATGTCCCACCGAGTCTTGGGACGATTTGCTGGTATACATAATTACTAGTAAATTGGATTATATAACAATAAAGGAATGGGAAGCTAGTTTGGAGGTCCAAGTATTGCCTAAATTCGCAGAACTAACTGACTTTCTTACGCGAAGGTGCCAGATGTTGGAAGCCGTAGCCAGGAGAAGCTTATCCATGACACCGAATGTTAATTCACGTCAAACGAACCCGGGAAAGGTGTCGATGTCTCATGCAGCTGTGACGAATGTTAAGTGTTTGCATTGCAAGGGCGATCATCAGGTTTACCAATGCAATAGCTTTAAGGAGCTTTCCATAGCGGAGCGTTTGAGCAGTGTAAGGGACTTAAAGTTATGTTTGAATTGTTTTAAGGGAAAACATTTTGCAAAGGATTGTTCGGCTGGCGGTTACAAAAAATGTACTAGAAAGCATAACACTTTGTTGCACGAAGATCGCGACTCATCAAAGGAGGTTAAGGAGGATTCGACGAAACAAAATGTAATTCAAGAGAGCACTTCGGGCAAAGCGGTTAATACCATATGTACGCATTTACAATCAAAAGAGATTGCGGAGTCCCATCAGGTGCTGTTGTCCACGGCTATAATTAGAGTAAAGAACCACAAAAATCAATATATAGAAGGCAGGGTACTATTAGACAATGGATCCCAATCTAATTTCGTAACCGAAGATTTTGTTAAAAGGCTAAATTTGAAAACGATTGACAATAAAGTTGAGATAAAAGGAATAAATCAACATATTTCTCATGCCGTGAAATCTTTAAATTTGGAGATAACTTCTCGTTTTGGTACGCACAGTTTAGATTTACCATGCATAGTGCTTCCTAAGATTACTCAAACTTTACCGACCATTGTAGTAGACACAACCCCTTTGAAAATACCAAAGAATATTCGATTGGCCGACCCGCAGTTTGATAAGCCGGGCAAGATCGAGTTGCTTATAGGCGCGGAGAGGTTTTGGGAGTTAATCTGCGTGGGGCAAATAAGGTTGGGAAAGCGAATGCTGATATTGCAAAAATCGCTATTAGGTTGGCTTGTATCGGGGCCGACAAAGGGAGAAAAGGCGGAGAAAATAGCTCAGACTAGTTGTAATTCAAGTATAATGGAGGAGTTAAATAAAACAATGCGTAAATTTTGGGAAGTAGAGGGATATCGGGAAATGAAAAAGTTAGAACCCGAAGAAGAATATTGTGAAGAGCACTTTAAAGCAACCCATGCACGCCATACAAATGGTAGATTTATAGTAAAATTACCGGTCAAAGAAGAAATATTAAAGTCTTTAGATGGCTCCAGAGAGGTAGCGTTAAAAAGATTTATAGCTTTAGAGCGAAAGTTTATTAACAAACCGGAACTAAAGAAAGAATATGTAAAATTTATACAGGATTATTTACAGCTGGGTCATATGAGAAATGTAGTTGATCCCGATAAAGATAAGCTGAGAGTCTTTTTACCACATCACGCAGTAATAAAAGAGAGTAGTGCTACCACAAAAACAAGGGTAGTGTTCGATGCATCCAGTCAGTATTCAAAAGGTAAATCTTTAAACGACGCGTTATACAAGGGTCCTGTCATTCAGTCGGATTTATTTGACCTAATTATACGATTCAGATGTTATAAATACGTTTTGTGTGCGGATATATCAAAAATGTACAGGCAGATTTTAGTGCATGAAGAACAAATTGCGTTGCAAAGTATTCTGTGGAGAGAAGAGCCCGAATCAAAGATAGAGGAAATGGAATTGCTTACTGTAACTTACGGTACAAAACCGGCTTCTTCCTTGGCCACTAAATGTTTATACCAATTAGCCGAAAGTGAAAAGGTAAATTATCCTAAAGCTGCGAAAATAGTTTGCAGGGATTTTTATATGGACGACTTACTAACCGGGAGTAATACTAAATCCGAAATTATAGAACTACAAAAAGAATTAACGGAATTGTTAGCGAAAGGTGGTTTTGAACTACATAAATGGAACTCTAACATAATAGATCAAGAGAACAATATAAAAACAGAAAGTAAAGAGGTAGACATTAGTAAGGACGCGGAATCTAAATTAGTAGGTATATTATGGAGTCCAAGCAAAGATACTTTTCGATACAAGGTATCATTAAAGGAGGGCGAAACTCGTGTAACAAAAAGAGTTATGCTATCGCAGATTTGCCGATTATTCGATCCTTTAGGTTTAGTGGGGCCAGTTATAACGTTAGCCAAAATACTTATGCAGGAACTATGGAGTTTGGGTATAGAATGGGATGAATCCCTCCCTATGCATCTTCATAGAGCATGGGATCAAATGAAACTACAATTATATTTACTTAACGAGTTAGAGATACCTAGATCGGTAATCCCGGGCAAAACGAATTCACAAATACAAATACACGGTTTTTGTGACGCCAGTGAAAAGGCTTATGAAGCCTGTGTATATTTACGGGAGCAAGACGAGCGTGGTCTTTTAACAGGTTCCCTACTGTGCTCAAAATCAAGAGTAGCGCCTATGAAGGCACTATCATTGCCTAGACTAGAATTATGCGGTGCAGTGCTACTGGTAAACTTGATGGATAAGGTAATAAATAGCTTGCATTTGCAGATACACCAGAAATTTTACTGGACAGATTCAAAGATAGTGTTAGCATGGATAGGTTCCTCGTCCAGAAAATGGCAGGCGTTCGTGGCAAATAGAGTTAGTGATATTCATGATAAGTCTTCACCTTCAGATTGGCGACATATAAGTTCGAAAGACAACCCCGCGGACTTGATTTCCAGAGGGGCCACCCCCGAGCTATTAATGCGAGCAGATAGTTGGTGGAAAGGACCACCATGGTTGATGCAGGATAAAGAATTCTGGCCGGTGGAAGGTGAGGAATTATCATGTGAGAGCGTTCCAGAAATGCGAAAACAAGCAATAATAGCGACAGCTGTGAATTGTGAAGCGATTATTAATTATAATAAATTTTCTCCGTTAAATAAGCTACTGCGAGTAGTTGCGTATGTATTAAGATTTAGTCATAATATACGATGTGAAAAGAAAAGGCGTGAAATAAGGGCAATAACTGCTGAAGAACTCAAGAAGGCTAAGGCGTCTACTATCAAGTTAATACAAAAGGAAGAACTTAAAGATGATATTAAGGCGTTGAGGGGCAACAACAAGGTCCGAAGAGATTCCAAGTTAGTGTCGCTATATCCGTATTTGGATAGCAATGGAATATTGAGGATCGGAGGAAGACTGAAACATGCGACGTTATCTGACGAAGTTAAGCACCCTATCTTGCTTCCCGCATCGCATTACTTTACCACTTTGGTAATTTTGCATCATCATGAAAGATTATTCCACGCTGGTGTCCAGACTTTAAATTCCATTAGGGAAGAATTTTGGCCAATCTTCGCAAAAAGTCGTGTGAAGAAGATTCTACGAAACTGTGTAAGATGTCGCAAGGCCCATCCTAAAGCCGGCTGGCAAATGGGAGAGTTACCGGCAGTCAGAGTTAACATCAGCAGACCTTTCTATAACTGTGGAGTAGACTACTGCGGCCCTTTCCTCGTCCGGGATCGAATTCGTCGCAACAGTAAGAAATACAAGGTATATGTGGCTATATTCATTTGTATGGTCACAAAGGCGGTACATATAGAATTAGTAGAAGACTTGACAACCGAGGCCTTCTTAGCCGCTCTAAAAAGGTTCATCGCAAGAAGAGGCAAAGTGAAAAATATGTACTCGGACAATGGAAGAAACTTTGTGGGTGCCGATCGTATACTACAACAAGCTTTAGAGGATACGACGTTCAATAGCACGGTGCAAGAGTTTGCAACTAAAGAGCAAATAAGTTGGCACTTCATACCTCCAAGGTCACCTCATTACGGAGGTTTATGGGAAGTAGCAGTGCGTTCTATGAAGCTACTTCTAAAGCGTACTTTGGGTGAGGCGTGCCTGACAGTGGGAGAAATGACGACCGTATTGACTCAAGTAGAAGCGATACTAAATTCTCGACCTTTAACCCCCCTGTCCGAGGATCCCAATGATATGAAGGCTATAACACCGGGGCACTTTCTAATAGGAGAGAATTTACAAGCTTATTCAGAGGAGGATTTACAAAAGGTACCCGAGAACAGGCTTTCTCGTTGGCAGCACGTTGAGCAGCTTAAGCAGCAGTTGTGGTCAAGATGGCAACAGGAGTATCTAACAACATGCCAGCAAAGAAGTAAATGGAAAAGAGATAACGACAGCAAATTCGTCGTTGGTCAACTCGTGATGTTAAAGGAGTCGGGCAGTTTACCCCTTGAATGGATTTTCGCAAGAATTACTGAAGTACATCCAGGACTAGACGGAAAAAACCGGGCTGTTACCTTACAAACCAAAACGGGGATTTACAAACGAGCAATCACTAATGTCGCTCCTATATCCGATTAATTAACCTTGCCACATTATTAAGGTATTTTGTATGTTTGTTTATTTGTTGGAAACCATTTATTTTAGTTATAACTACTCTACGTTTTGAAAATATGTGATATTTGTCAAGGCGGGCGGCGTGTCCGATATATGTAATCTTTAGTTTTATAACTGCCCGACTCCTTTGTTTGTTTCTTTTGATTCTAGTAAAGTATTTAAAAATCAAGTGAAGGTGGATCAGCCTATCAATTATAGAAAACTGATTGAAAATGGTGAGAGGACAAACTGGACTGACTTTCTGTCCCTGGTTCATCCAAACGAAGCTTCAAATAAATTAATAAAGGAAATAACCAAAATCATTAACGAATCTAGATATAGGGTAAGGGAACATAAGAAAAAGGATACACCAAGGAAAAAATGGATAACCAAGGGATTGATAAAATCCTTCCCAAATGGGGAAAATCCGGACTGGCTGGGCGACGGCCAGAGTGGCCCTTCTCGAGGCACGTCCTATGCGTTGTCATCACATCGCCATGTGGCGAGAGGCGCTCTTAGCCTCGGGGAACAACACCCCGGGGCTGCGCGTCGTCGGGGCAATCGGGCCCCTCCTTGACCAGTGGGTCGACAGGGGATGGGGTGGGCTGTCTTTCCGGATGACCCAGGTGATGACGGGGCATGGCTGCTTCGGACATTTCCTGGGTCGGATCGGAAAGGAGCAAGACTCCCGCTGCCACCATTGCAGCGCGGCGGACGACACCGCCCAGCACACGCTGGGCGAGTGTCCGGCGTGGGCGGGTGAGCGAGAGACGCTCACCCGCGTGCTCGGGCAGGACCTCTCCCTACCAGCGGTGATTACCGCGATACT